AGCCCCGAGGGTGGCGCTGAAGAAGAGGAAGGCGAGGCCACAGCGCACGGCCAGCACCGTCATCCCGGAGCCTGCGACCGGAGACAGAAGCTTGTAGCGGCCACAAACCCGGAGCTGAGATGCAGTCACCTCTGGGGTGGGACACGGGGCTGTTTATACAGGGACCACTCGCCCGGCGCTGAGATGCAGCCACCTCTGGGGTGGGACACGGGGCTGCCAGCACAGGGATCCCTTGGTACGTTTTCCCCCACAGGTATGCTGTGGACTCCAACGCCCAGGTCTAAGCCAAACTCAGGGTTCCCAGCCGACCTCCCCTCATAGCATCCAGGCTCCCCCTTCGCTCCCCACCTGAACCCTGGGGTGTCGCCGTTCTGTGCGGCTGGTACCCAGCTGCCCCGCCCCAGATGTGGCTGCATTGACTGTGACAGGGATACGGGGGCTGAATACGCACCTGGACTGGTGGGGGTGGGGCTGGTGCTCTGCTGGGTCCCGTGCGCCCCCGGGTCGCACTCCAGGCAGTAGCTCCCAGACCGGGGGGGATCCCCAGGCAGGTGGCAGCTCCACAGACCCTCCAACGAGCTGGAGAAACCCTCTATCATCACCTTGGACCTCAGGATCCGAGGGGCTGTGAAGTTTGGTAGCGTTTCCCCATTGAGCTGCCACGTGGCGCCCCCTGCTGGGGGTGATGTGGGTCCCTGCGCCCCACAGGGGGTACAGGAGAGGGACACAGACGCTCCCTCCACGACCGGCTCCTTGGGGACGCGGCGATGGACGCCCCGGCCGGGCAGCCTGTGGGGGCAGAGCCAAACATGATGGATCCAGTTACCGACCCGCACCCTGCTGGCTGCTTGCTGCTCCCCTCCTTCCAGAGCTAGGCAAGAACCCAGGTGTCCTGGCTCCCAGCTCCCTGCTCTAACCACTAGCCCCCACTCCCCTCCCAGAGCTGGGGAGAGAACCCAGGTGTTCTGGCTCCCAGCCCCCTGGCAGTGCTGTATACAGGTCACGGAGATCGGCGGGGCGTTCTGACTGGGGCTGGCACAGAAGAAGACCCCCGAGTCGTTCATATGGAGGACGGAGGTTTGGGTTCTCCGACTGGTTAGGAGATGCAGCCGCTTCTTAAACCTCCCCTCCGGAGTGTCATGTGCCCCAGCCGCCGTCACTGTGCAAATTGTCTTTATCCCACCGCTCACACCAGCACAGACTGGGTAGCGCGGGACCCACCGCCAGATCAGCCTCGGCCCCGTCAGGTTGCAGGACTAGACTCACAGTCGAGCCGGCTTCTTTCGTCACCTCTGGGCCTGCAAACTCCAGAGCCAAGTGGTTCCTGCCTACAAGGGGACAAGAGTGACGGGGACCCCTCGCCTGG